AAAAAATAATGATTTATTTAACTTTGTTTACTCTTATTCTCAATTTGGCCAGAGAGAGACAGAGACAGAATTGGAGAGTGAAAAAGCAAGCCACCAGGTCCGGGACTCAAATCGTGGTCAGCCATGTGGGAGTTCAGTGCCTTAACCACCACACCATCCATTGGCCCAATTTTTCATAATTTCTTATTTACGTTTTATTGTCTATCATTGTGGGGTGCAATGTGGATTCTAAAAGCATGTATTTGGTGTGCAAAAATCAGTCAAGGATATTACCACACTAATTGTTCTCTAAAAGAACACCATATTAAGATATGTACCTTAAATTTTTGCTCTACTAGGGTTTTGTTTTGTTTTCAAGATAATATCTATAAGATTGGCAATGGCCCTTTTTTTTCTGTTGTGGTGTGCCAGGCTACAACCGAGAAACTTCCAATGACCTGAATTCAAGACCAGACAGAAATGTATCCCTCAATGCATCATGATGATCACAATCAAAGCTAAACATTAGTTTGCAATGTTGAAAGGAAAGAACTGGGTCCAACTAAGATGTTGACTATGCTAGCTCTGAATTGTTCAAATGATTCAAGAATTGTTACTTATTATATAACAGGAGTGGAGAGTCTGCAAATACTGATGTAAAGGTACTGAAGAATTTTTGGAAACTCTTCTAGATAAGTTGATTGTGGAGAAAGATTATGTGATGGAGAACATCTTTAATATAGATGAAATCTTCCTATTCTTGAAACAAATGCCCGAAAGCCCTTTCATCCATAATGAGACTGGGTCAATGACAGGTTTCAAGATTTTTTTTTAGAGAAAGAGATTTTTGCTATAGGGCATGTGTGCTCACTGGAGACAGAGAGATGGACAAAGAGACAGAAAGGGAGAAATCACCCCCCCAGGATTTCAAAATTTTTAAGGACAGGGTAATGGTCTTGCTTGAAGGCAGTGTTTCAGACTACAAATTAAAACTCTCTGTGACTGGGCCCAGTGAGAAATCCGGGGCCTTCACATATCAATATGTGCTACAGTATACTACAGGAGCAATAAGAAGCCATGGATGACTCATTTCGTCTTCCAAGATGTCCTCCTGAAGCACTATGTCAGTGAAATAGAGAAATAGTGTTTGAAGAATATCTTTCAAGATTTTTTTTTTTTAATTTGCCAGAGGGCACATGTGTTCACCAGAGAGAGAAACTTGTGATCAGATTTGTCTATCATTTTCTTTTGTCATCTATGCTTTGGTGTCATATGCAAAAAGTTTTCTTTTAGAAGTTTTATAATTTTAGCTCTTTTTAGTGCTCACATTTATATCTTTGATCTATTTTGAGTTTATATTGTATATAATATAATGTAAGGGTCTAACTTCATTCTTTTGCATGTGGACATCCAGTTTTTCAAGCACCATTTTTTGAAAAGACTGTACTATCTGCATTGAGTGGTCTTGTTGAAAATCAATTGACCATAGATGTAAGGGCTTAAATGTTGGCTCTCTATGTCTTCATGTCAGTACTGCATTTGCTTTTCAAACTGTAGTATTGGGTTGTCAGAAAAATCATGACGTATTTATCCATCATGACTTTTCTGACTAAATATTTTGCCATTATCCATCATTACATAATTCTGAAACTGAAAATAAACATATATCATTATTGACAAAAGAAATCATATATGTGATATCACTGCTTATTTCTGTCCAATACAATAAATATCCTTAACAGTTTATAGTATGATAAAAATATCTGTAACAACATTCTTAAACATTTGGCAAGAGCCTCTTCTTTTTACTCACTACTATTGTTCCTCTTGCATAGGCATTCC